GTACATATTCTTATTTACAGTACAGCTCTTATATTTTTCCAACTTTATTATTATTATTATTATTATTATTATTATTATTATTATTATTATGAATATTTAATTAATATGACTGAATTTCATTTATGCTGCTTTGTCCATAAAGCCTTGTAATACATTTTAGAATTTATACCGTATATAACAGAACCATGTCTTTTATTATTTTAAAAGTGTCATGTTAAAGAGCAATTAAGTATTTGGTGAAACTAATAAATAACCTTTTAAAACAGCTTGATATAAAATAATGGTAATTACTTTGATGCAGAAAACCATCATAAAGTTGATTAATAAAGGAACTGAAAACAGCTAATATCTTCAGTAGTCTTCTAAAGCCAAAAGATTATTGTGATGAGATGATAGCATATTCTGCATTATGGAGCACTTCAAGATCTTTGTTTATTCGTTTGGGGAAAATGGTGCTCCAAATCATTTAAACAATCAGTTAAATGGCTGTATAAAATTTTTAGGAATGGAGTGCTAACCATCTTCTAACTGGAGTACTGGACTCTCAAAATATTATACAATTAATGCATGAGATCAAACAGAGGCTGTTGAGATAATAAGGCATTTTGCTTGTTCCAAAGTTTTTCCTTAGACATCAAAAGTTGCATATAGGCTATGAATTTCTGGGCATATTTTTAAGCAAGTAATACAATAGTAAATTTACCAAGTCTTTTTTTTTTTTTCAGAATTCCTGAAGACTAATGTAAATCTTGATACTTAATTCTTATAATTTTGACAGTTAACCAGGACATGCCGTGTATTTTTCCTTCCCCCCAAAATAGGCAAAATTGGCGTATGGGCGAATCCATAAATGTAATACTATACCAAGTTACACCTGATAACCTCAGGTTAAATATGGTCATATAGTACTAGTATTATTCAGGGTTTCAGTTACTTAATTGATTTCTATATCTAGGAAATTGTAGCAAGGAACAACAGACAAGGAGGGCTCATCATTTATCTCCTCTGTAGTGCAGCAATTCCTGACCTACCTAAAACTCTCAAATTTCCCTGGGGAAGTAATCATTCGTGTGAGAGGGCCATGCCTCTGGCATTTAGCAATGCATTTTCAAAAGGTGATAAACGTGTTTGTTCTGGTTGCTACAATCAGTTGTTGCCAGACCATTTTTTTGATTGTGACTCTCTTTATTTTCTTGTAGAAAATTGATACTGTCGTTTATGCTGTGACAGTACCTGAGGGGCTTTTTATCTTTAAGCCTAGTTTTACTGCAGTGAGTCATTTCTTCACATTCACATAATCAGGTTCTTAAAAAATTTAGCCCTTTGTCCGAAATGGTATAGGGCAGTGATGGCGAACCTTTTAGAGACCGAGTGCCCAAACTGCAACCCAAAACCCACCTATGCATCGTCAGGTGCCGGATGGGTATGGCCCATTGGGTGGGTGTGTCCCATTGGGTGGGCGTGGCTGCGGTGGTAATAGCAGACTGGGTGGGACTAAAAAGTTCAATCAATCAATTTCAACTTTGCAAGATCTTTTTTTTCCGCGAGAAGTTGAAATTGACTGATTGATTGAACCTTTTTTTTTGTACACGGCGGCGGAGGCCTAAAGCGAAAAGGTTTTATAAAACCCAGCTGACGGCCTAGGACTGGGGCGATGGCACGCATGCCCACAGAGAGGGTTCTGAGTGCCGCCTCTGGCACCCGTGCCATAGATTCGCCACCACTGGTATAGGGTTTCCTGCCTGAGCAGGAGGTTGGACTGGATGACTTCCAAGGTCCCTTCCAACTTTATCATTATTATTATTATTAAGCTCTTCTCATACCATGAAAGAATAGAATCATTTATTCTTGCTGATGCAATCAGTAAACATATCAGCTGAAATTGAACAGATTTGCTATTTCTCAGACAGATTTACCAACCTAGACCATTTTACATGAGAAAATTAATATCCACAATAAATGGAACTGAAATAGAGACTTAAAAAGTAACTAAACATAAAAAGCTTCACCTGTAGAACTATTAGGAAGTGATGATGTTTTTACATTGTAACTTATCCTCCTGCTCACTGTGGAGTTTACTAAGCAGTGGATTGCACTCAGTTTGGACCTTGCCCAAAAGGTGAATATCCTGGGGTGTCCTCTTGTAAGAATCAGCCATGGTTCTTTCTACAACAGAAAAATAATTTGTGATCTCTAAATAAGTCTTAATATGCTCAGCCCACACATTAACAATACAAAAGAACTAATCTCATCAACATTCTTTTCAGTTCAGCAATTGGCTTCTCTCCAGCTTGGAGATAAATAAGTTACTCAGGCAGGCAGAAATTGTACTGTACATTCTTTACATTCCTATGATATTTTTTTCTCCATGTGCTCAAAATTAAGCATATTTAACTTGCTTTTAACCTATGAAGCCAGTCAGCACAGCTGACCAACTCACCTTCTTGGACAGTTAAAAAAATAAATAATTTGTATGTTGCTTTGTTTTGTTTTCCTTTGCTGCCTGTTTGCCAAAGAAACAAAGCCTACTAGTCATGCAAAAAGTAAAGATGTTGCTTTTTGATGACAGAGTGATGTTCCTTGCCGATAGTAGCTGCCAACTGTAAAAAAGGGGAAAATGTTGGACCGAGTTCTTGGTACTGCTGCATGAATGAAGAACAGCTTTTGCATGCATTGAAATGCAATGTTAGATAGAGAGTAAAACAATGCTCTACAAATCAACAAAATTGTCATAAAAGTTTTACATTCATAGATGCCCCCGAAATCTCCAATTCACCAAAACATCCAAAGAATGTAGCCCAAATGTCAAGAAATCAATCCAAACTAATGTAGAAGCTATATATTTTTAAATGCCTTGTGAAGTTCAGTATCTATAAGATATGTACAAACACACAAAAACAAGTATCCAAACCAACATTTTATAAGCAATATTTATATTTATGGGAACTGAAACTTATATGCAATTACAATATGACTTACCCCAATGTGAGCACAATATTGTGAAGCACAATAATGCATGCCAACTCACACTTTTGCATCAGCTGCCTTAAAAATAATGACAACATAGGCACATAGGCCTTATAAACTCTTAACATTTCCAGGACAAAGAATTAAGAAAACTTTGTAATATACTAGACATAATAGTATACATTCAACTTTTAGAGCTTTCATCTTCTGTCTAACCACATGCTTAATTGCTGCTTTCCAATTAATGTTGAACTCTTAGATGATCTTACTCAGTTCAACCCAACAATAATAGGAACATGACTGTTCCTGGTGCTGTACCAGCTAGGTGGAAAGGGATTTAGGAGAAAATTGAGAATTCATTTACAGTACCTCTCGATCTGCAACCATTCAATCAGCAACCACTCCATTACAATGGCCCTATAGCTGGCCCTCAGAGTTCTGGCCATCCCAGGACCCCCATGGTCATATGATGGCAATTTGGGTGCTTGGCAACCTTTTCACATTTATGACTGGTTGCCAAACATCCTGTGATCATGTGATTGCCAATTTCCATTCTTCTTTGCTGGATTTCTGAAAAAGTCAATTGGGAAGCTGGCAGTCAAGGTTGCAAGACTCCCTTACCCATGCAGCATTCCCCAATTCCACTGCTTTCATACCATGCTGGTACTTGCACATCCCCACACATCCTCATTGATCCATGCTGTAGTTCTGCACACCTTTCCTGATCTGTACCACACCCTTGCAAACCTTCCCCAACCAGCCTCTCTTGTGCACCGCTCACACTCATATGGACTCTCCTTGATCTGCACCATACCTTTGTGCATCCCCTCGCATCCTTCCCAATCTGCACCACTCCTCTTATTTCTTGCACCTCATGCATCCTCGTCAACCCTCCCTGACCTGCACTGTGATTCTTGGCAATTCTCACAAAGCACCCTCCCAACCTTCCCTGACCCATGTCATTCTTCTCATGTACCCTCGTGTATCCTCCATACCAATCAATCAGAATAAAGCTAGAAAGGACCTTGGAGGTCTTCTAGTCCAACCCCCTACTCAAGCAGGAGACCCTATATTATTTCAGACAGGTGGTTGTCCAGTCTTTTCTTAAAAACCTGCAGTGATGAAGCACCTACAACCTCTGAAGCTGTTCCACTGGTTAATTGTTCTCACTGTTAGGAAATTTCTCCTTAATTCCAGGTTGCTTCATTCCTAAATTAGTTTCCATCCATTGTTTCTTGTCTTTCTTTCTGATGTGATGCTTTGGAAAATAAGTTGACCCCCTCTTCTTTGTGGCAGCCCCTGAAATACTGGAATAGTGCTACCATGTCACCTTTAGTCCTTCTTTTCTTTAGACTAGCCATACCTAATTCCTGCAACCATTCTTCATATGTTTTTGTCTCCAGGCCTTTAATCATCTTAATTCCTGTTCTTTGCACTTTTTCCAAAGTCTCAACATCTTTTTTTTAAAATGTGTGCCCAAAACTGGATGCAGTATTTCAGCTGTGGTCTTACAAAGAATTTATAAAGTGGTACTAATACTTCACATGATTGATTCTATGCCTATGTTTATACAGACAATGACTGTATTAGCTGTTTTGGTTGCTGCCAGACACTGCTGACTCATGTTTAAATAATCGTCCATCTCCAACCTGCACTGCACTTCTCTCATACACAACAAGTACATTTATTTGGCACTTTCTACTCTTTTTTCCATGACATGTTTTCTATCTAACTTTTTTTTAATGAGAAGCCTTAAAACATATTTTTCAGTTTCATGTTCATAATCCATGAGCAGTACTATTTTGCAATTGTTCTTTGTTCAGACACATATCCAAGATATGAATAAGAAGCATAAAAACTTGAATTGAAATAAATTAATTTGGATGATTATATGTGAAATATTATATGTAGACTATTAAAAAGGACAGTAACACAATTGTGCATTATATAAACCTTGATACAGATTTGCTTTGTAAAAATATGTTCTTATATAATGAATCTAAAGGAAGATTTCTGTTGTATATCTGTACTAGCAAACTGTTCATGAGGAGACTACTGTACTGATGACTGAAGATGTGCCAATGGAAACTTCTTATGTGCCTTCTGCCTACCTGACAGAGATCCAACAGCTTCTACAAGCCTTGTCCAATGTGGAAGACCTGCTTAATTCTCCCACTCTTCAGGGGAAGGACTATGAAAATCTTGTTAGAAAAGAAGATGATCTCAAGGTAAGAAATCAAGCCATTTAAATAATGTGTTCAGCTACTTAGAGTGAAAGTTGGATATTTTCACCCTAAAAAAATTGGAAAGCACAATTTTCGGTGGAGTAAATGAGTTCAATATTATTTTACAAAACTTGAATGTGTTTTACTTTTTTGCACCATTTCAAATCTCTTCAAAACTCAATAGGCATAAAATATGTTTCCCTATATAAATATTTAATTACACACAGTCATTTTCCAATGGATTTTTTATTCTTCTTCAATGAAGTCTGATTCTCAGAAACTGCTTGGGCAAGTTCCTACCATTTTCTTGGCAACGTTTTTCAGAAGTGATATGGCACTGCCTGTTTCCTAGGGGTGAGAGAAAGTGACTAGCCCAAGGTCACCCAGCTGGCTTTGAGGGTAAGGCAGGACTAGAACTCACAGTTTCCCACTTTCTAGCCTGATGCGTTACCCACTAAACCAAACTGCTCCTCTCATATCAACACACATATACATCCTTTACGTTTGCACATGTATGGACACATATCCATATCCAATTGTACCTAAAAGTATTCAAGTACTACAAAGATTAAATTACATCAAACAACCATATTTGCTTGCTACATCCTAACATTTCCTAGAAGATCCCTTTTCAAAGACCTATTTTTACAATCACATTCTGTATTCTTTTGAAATAATCACGTGGATTCCTACATTTCATGACTATTTTGTGCATAATAAATGAAATATTTTTTTATACAAAACAGTGAACAATTTTAACCTATGAAGAAATAATTTTGAGGAAAAAGAAAATCACTCAGGGCATTCCCTTGACAGAGACAGCAGCAAATCAGAATGTTGGGAATCTCTCCATTCTTGTTTTAAAATTTTTATTAATTTCAAAATAACCCCCCCATACAAATATAAACATACATTAATACAACTTCAATATTATTAATTTTAACATACAAACATAGACATACATTAATATTGCAAAACAGCCCGGCAACCCCCCTCCCCGCATCCGCCCTCTTTCCTCCAACCTCCCTACACATCCCACCTCCTTCCCTCTCCTCTTCCTACGGACACGGTTTAGAGCGCTAGCCGAGCATCAGCTCGGCAGCCCCCTCCCTGCATCCACCCTCTTTTCCACTACCTACCTACTTCCCTCCTATCTCTCTTCTCCTCTTCCTCTCCCTCCCTTCGGACACGGTTTAGGGGTGCCGACCAAGCGCCTTCTATATTTCTCCATACATCAATACTCCTAATTTAATACTCATTTCTACATTAATCATTAATGCTCATAATTATTTTATCTCTATTTCTACCCTCCCTCTCCCCCACGACCCCCCCCGGACTTCCCAGAACTGATCACAGGGTTAAACACACATCATCCCAAGTCTAAATATTACTACCCAAATGTAAAACAATCAAGTATAAACCTACTTTAACTCAAATAAAAACAATCAGATATAAACATATATATATATATAAACTCTAAACATATAATCTATCCATCTTCCCTAAACCCAGATATCTTAAAATTAATCTTTGCCATTTCTACAAAATAAAAACAACCAATCATCTTGCCACTATTCATTTCTTAATTCAAATCTTCCGTAATCCCCAATAAAAATAGTTACAAAGTAAACTTTATCTATCACTTAAAAACCTATTAAATTTTCCACTAAATCTTAATCCAGCAAATTATGTATTCCTTCAAATCCACCAAATATAATAATAAATTACAAATTATTAATCTCAAATACTCCTTCAAAATAATATAAATTTCTTCAAATAATAAAATTCAAATCATAATCCCCAATAAAAAAATTACTTAAAAACCAATTAACTTTAATCCAGAAAATTATATATCCACCAAATATAATAAATTACAAATTATTTCCCATATCTCCAATAAAATTCTCAAATATCTTGAGCCCATTTAATAATTTTATAAATCCTCTTATATGAACTCTATCTCAATCTTTAACTTCAAATACTCCTTTAAAATAATATAAATTTCTTCAAATGATAAAATATTCTTTCTTTTTTTTCTTTTTTTTTGTAATAAATTCTGATAAAACTTTTAAAATAAATAGAAACTCTATTTCAATCTTTCATAATGAATAATTCCTTAAAAAACCCTCCAGTTTTCAAATAATTTCAGTAAATTTCTTACAGACTCATCACCTCATTTTTATATTATTTCAAATATTCTCTTTCTTTCCAAATTCAAACCATTAATATTCCAAGTTGAAAGTTTTAAAAATAAAAAAAAACTTCCAAAGCTTTCCTTATAAATCTGTCCTCCCGAATCTCATCAGTCTCACTCCTTTCGCCAGCTCTGAAACAGGCAAATATGTTGCAATTGAAATCCTTTTTACTGCTTTTCTCCTTTCATTTATATGCATTCTTTGTTCAAACGTTCCTTTCATTCTTTTAAATCGCGTTGTTAACTGAGATCTCTGCTGATAAAGAGCCTGTGTAATTTCACTGTGGCAGGATCTTCTAGAAAAACGAACAGCAACATCTCTAGGTGGATTTCTCTGACGTGCGGCCCCTAAATAAACTCTATAAACTTTTTCTCTCAAAATTTCTTCAGGGTCGCACACCAAAACTACAACCTGATCTGTCGCAGCTTCCTCTCTCAGCTTTTCCTGCGTATCATTCAATCCTCTTCTCAAAACAGGCTCCATGTCTCCATATTGTAGCATATCATTCTGAACCAATTCCACAATATCTTCTGCTTTTACAAATCTGTCCTCCGTCCCTTCAGCCTTTTCATCCACTCGTCACTCCACACAATCTGTAAAACCTTGAAAAACAAATGCTGTACTTTCTTGTATCATCTGCATCAAAATGTCCTGTACATCTTTAAGTGTAATTGATGGGTGAAGTGAAAGTGAAGACATTTTAAATTTAAACTGTTGTAAAATTTAAATGAGAAAAGCAGAGGTTCCAGTACCTTTTAAGCCATTTTCAAAACTTCATTATATAAAGTAAAAGAAAAAAGATACTTTCAATAAACTAAAAAAATCTTTACAATGTATCTCTGAACTGGAAGAAGAGTGAAAGTCTTTCTTAGCAATGCCTTCTAGTACAAAGAGACGGCAATTCCACAGCCATTTTCGTCTTACTTAAATTTTAGAAAATAATGAAGATGCTTTAATATTCTCTGAGTTAAAGTCTTAAATCACTTAAAATTCAATCCTCCTGGTCAGTTCCGTCTGCTTGTAAGTTTACTCTCACAAAAATCTTCAAATAGCAGAAGTGGAAGCTGCAGCTGGCTTTGCTCCTCCGGAAAGGAACAAAGGCACCATGGGGTGCGGTGAAAGCCCAGACTCTGAGAGAGCTCTCACCTATCAACCCCCCCAAAGAAAAAAGGGGGGAGAGAGGGAGCTGTATCTCTATCCGGGCCAACTCACCACTCCCTCTTAGCCCGAGGGACGAGGTTCCAAGCCGAGAAGCAGCTGATGATCGCTGCTTCTTGCTGGCTCTGACGCAGCCCCAGGCGGGCGGCCAAAAAATGCCGCCATCCCTGCAGCAGTCTCCACCAGAAGCCCGGGAATCTCTCCATTCTAAACTCTGCTGCCACCTCCTTTTTATCACATGACTTAAAGCAAGGGTGTCAAACTGCCGGCCCACGGGCCGGACACGTCATCCAGAAGCCGCACCCACCCCATTGCTGGCAATGGCAAAACCATCCTGATACATTGCACGACATCACATGACATCGCGAGTTTGACTTAAAGATATGATCTGCAGCTTGTCCCAGTGCTGCACAGAGATATAGAACCCAATGGGAAAACAGTAAGACATATACACAGAGATTCAAATTTGACTCCTTTACACAGAAGAAAATATAAACATATTTAGATGAATTTAAAAGAATTCTGCCTATTTTCTCTATCGTGTTTATCTGCTGTTATTGTATTTTCTCCTTTTTTTTGTTTTTTTATACATCATCTACAAACTAGGCCTCCTCAGTCAAAGCCTGTGTTGCTTTCCATGGATAACTAGCATAAAACACAAAATTATAATTCAATGAATTCAAGAGAAGATTCCTTTGAAAATGAATCTGGGGAGAAAAGAATTACCTTTCATGTTTGCTCTTCTTCCATCTCTCTCACCCCATGGTCTCTTCTCCCTCTCCCCTCCTCTTTCTTTTACCATGATAATTATATAAGTAATAAGATTTATGGTAGTTACTCATTAATCACTGTAGTCACTGCCCAGCAAGAATTCCTTTTTAATTTTAAATATGTTGGATTTATTAACGTTATAGGTGTGCTATAATGCATAGTTCTAGCATATATTCAAGGCTGTGATTTCACAGAGGATTTTTCTTTTTCATTTATGAATACTAGAAGCTCTGCTTCTTATATTTATGGTATCTGAATAAAAAGCTGAAAGATGATTACAAATTTGGTATTCATCCAGGACAATATTTTCCAAAATGCATTTGCATTTTTATCAAAGAAATACACATCTGGGTTCTACCAAATAAGGGAAAGAAACAACAAAGAAACCTTTTCATAAAGGAGAGCCAAATGGCTCCATTCCTTTTTTAGGAATAAGTGCAATCTGTTAACCTATGCAAATGAAATAACATTCCAATTTAATGTTTGAGGATAAAAATATTTGATAGATACTTGATACTCAAATGGTAGAAGAACTGAATGTGTAGAAAATGTTCTTGTGTTTACTTATGTTATGATTGTTTTTTATGATGGAAAAAAAATAAAATTTCTTTGAAAAAAAAAAAAGAAAATGTTCTTAACTATCAAATAAAGTGAATACTATGTAGTGTTGGAAAATTCTTGGTTTTTGAGGGATAATAAGGACTTTGATTCCAATGATTTTTTCAATCTACCAATGGGCTTCCCTAATCTTTCATATCTTTATATTTACAATGAAAGTAAAATGCATTTCTTAAAATCAGATTATAAAATTGTTGATGACATCAAACTTCACCTCTCTCCATGTACTTGTGTTCCCCTCTTCCCCATCTTTTAACAATGTTTTTACAGTTATTTTTTGTTTTATTATTTTAACATGTAATTGTTTTAATATTTGTAAGCCACCAAGAGTCATTTCTGGATAAAAAATAATAATAAATAATTAAGATTAAGACTGCTTCAAGTCACCAATCAGAATTTTAAAATACATAGGAATACCAAAGAAATATCACTATAGACAATTCAATGTGAAGCTATCTCTTAAAGCAGGCAAATCAAATTTATTTATTGACTCTGACACTTCTATAGGGCATTGCTTGTTTTCTTTGCTCAGCACATATATTGAACAAGACCTTTTTTTTGTTAAAACCTGGTTTCATTTGGGGATCTTTGGTGCCAAGAAACAGATGATTATCAAATGATGTTGGCTTCAATGGATATATTCCCTGCAATTAGGAAAGAATGTGCAACTGAAAGTGAGGGTAAAAATATAGACAGTGCTAGCATTGACCTAGTTCTTGCTTTTGTAGTATCTTATATTACTTCAGTGCAATTTTGTTTCATAGGACAAAACATTCAGGATTTCCTGTTAATATTAAAATAACAATTTGCTAATTATTTATTAAATCAATAAAAAAATAAAATAAAATTCAAAAGTTTAAATTATTCCACGAGTAATTACTCCACATGCAAACTTGAAATATTAGTCCTTCTGACTACACTGAAAATAAAAGGGAAAAAAATCCTTCGTTTCATTGCCAGATTTTTTTCTTTCTTAATGCAAGATTCTCCCAAATGCCAAACACAATTTAATTCTTATCATATATCTCTCTCCTCTTATAACATAATGGATTAATTGAAATATTTTATTTTTTCCCTTTTGGTCAAAATATAGAAGTATTATAGAAGGAGAAATTTATTTAATAATTCAACATCTGTATGCCTTCTTCTTTCTTGTTCCCCTCCACCTCTTGAATTGCAGAAAATTAAGGGCACCCTAAGGAGATATTCAGATCAAATTGAAATCATTCAGAACAAGAAGCCTGCAGTTCTGAAAAGTGCCACACCTGGTGAAGCTATGAAAATTGAAGAAAAGCTGACTCAGCTTACTTCCCAGTGGGAAAAAGTTAATAAGATATATTGGGATCGACAGGCGTAAGTAATTTCTTTATTTTATTTTGCTACCCATGATAAGCATCATTACATTTGACTTACAATGTATAGTTGCATTTTATCTTTGTGAAATAGCTTGTTGATTCCAGATTGAATATATCTTAATATTTGGACATCGATAGTGGAAGAGTTAATAGATTCAGAGAATTTTCTGACAAAATAATTGTCAAAAAACCCCTCATATTTGTATTGCTTCATCTAAGATAAATATAGATATGTCTACAGATAAAAATCAAGTAATTATTTCCCTGACTTTTAAGTAGAGTGTTTGGAATCAAGGTAGACTGATTTTACCCATGTAAATCATCTTTTTTATTGGTATTCTCAGAAGGTATGTATAAATATGATTAATTATATATGAAAAATTATAAGGTTCTTCACTGTTAGCTTAGCCATTTCTGTGCTGAATCCATGTCCCTCCTATGTTGTGAAAGTGGCCAAAGAGATGTTATATGGTTGGCTCCATGGTATGGTGTAAGAGAGAAATTGGGTCTCCAACCTTAAAGGAAGCAGTGACACAGTCTCTCCTCAATAGGTCATGGACACAATAGCTTTAGACAACTATCACTCTGTCTCCAACCTTCCCTTTTAGAGAAGTAGTCAGATTGTAGAGAATTCTAAAGTTAATGGATTATTTAGACTTGTTTCAGTCAAGTTTCAAGCCAGGATTTAGTATGGAGACAGCCTATCCTTATACATGACTTGTGTTCAACTAGGATGGAGATCATGCATCCATCCTTATACTCTTGATATCTCAATGGCTTTCAGTATCATTGACCATGGTATCCTTCTAAATTAGCTCAGGCATTGGGAATGGGGCACTGTTTTATTGTATATTTTTCCTTCCTTCAGGGCTGGTTTTGGTTAGTGTTGGTTGTGGGAATAAGAGTATACTCCCTAAGTCCCTTCTTTGTGAGTAGCACAAGGCTTGACTGCTCTCATTCAATATCTATACAAAAGGTGAAGTCATCCATCAAGTTGGGGTCCAATATCAATAATATACTGATAATATCCAGGGTATATATTTGACCATATGCCAGCCAAGTGAGGCTATTGAGATCCTATCCCAGAGTGTGTCTTAAATTTATTTTGAGGAAATTCCATATTTGGCCTTGGATGGGAATTACACTTCCTCATTTATGCAGTTCCAAATCCTTTTTGGTTGTACAACCTTAGGAATTAGACAGGGTCTTCTGAAATATGAATTCTGCTACCTGATTTGTAGCCCACCTTCAGTGGTATTTCATTCCACTGACCACAGTAACCTGTATCATCCTGTAAGGGCTGTGAATTGGAGATACTGATTTAAGGTAGTTCCATTCTTACTTGAGTAACCAATTCCATTTACTAGTCATGGGGAAACAATGATTGAATCCAGAGAAATGTAATAGAGTCCCTAGTTGTTCCAAATGAGGAAACCCAGGACTTGGTTCTCTGCCTCCCCCCCCCCCCCACACCCATGCAGTTTATAGATGACATTGTCCAGAGATGTGATTGGCTCTCTTCAACTCATGTTTAAGCAGAGACCAGCCACAATTTGTGAGAGACACTTCAGTTTAGATTCCTCCACCAAGCATGTGGATGGACTTGATGTATGATTTTTATTCAACATTTCTCTAAATATACAGATTGATTTTAAATTTTGTTTTATTCTTTTTCATCAATTTTGTCCTTATATGTACTTATGTACTTGTTTTCCTCCAGTCCATTTAGTTAGTTGAGATGTTATAGTGGTAAGCAGAGAAGATTGGTTGGAACATAGTAGAACAAATAAATCATTAATCCTATGCATGTCATTTTTGTTTGGCCTAATCTTCTAAAGTGTAACTTAGCACACACACATAATCTGGGAAGGTTTCCAGGTTAATGGCTTGATGTTGTTGTTATCTGAAAAAGAGAGACAAGTCAACATTATGCAGGATTTTTCAGTTTGTCTTTGTACCATCTGCAGCAGTGAAAATGAGTTATACTTTCATCATATGGTACAAATTCACTATAAGAATAATAATGTTTTCTTAAATGGAGCTTCAGCCAAATTGTTGAACTTTTCAACACAATGTTTAAAGTACCATTTTAGATTATTACATGCTACTAGAAATTTTTTTGTGTCACTTTCCTAAAGTAATTCAAGAAATTATATATATTGGCTTACCATGTTGGCAATCCTATCCTTACTTAATGAACAAAATAGCAGAGTTGGCCACTATAAGGACATTTGCCAAATTCAGAATAGCACATTCTCAGAATGGCTATCCATCTGCAGCTGGAAAGAGCTTCAGGGATACAAGAAGAAAGACTTAATTTAACATGCATAGAGTGGGAGACCATACAGAGGAAAAAAGAGGTTGGAAAGAAATCAAGATGATCAAGGAGGAAGACTGGCCTTAGTTTGCTTGTTTCTTAACCAGGAGTACCTCGGAGTAGTTCTAATAAAGTGTTAATGTTTTCCTTCATTTACATCAATATTGATATTAAACATAAG